TAGAAGTGCAGGAACTAGTTTTTCAGCATCAGGATGTTTTTAGTTTTAAGATGTTGCACACATGGAAGAAGACAGTGTTTCATATGCACACTGAAGGACAATCAAAATTGACTCCAAGACTTCTTACAGTGTTACTGGAGGCCAAGGTAATGCCATCCAGAGTAAGCATCTGTTTTGACACCATGTTTGGTTGTGTGACTCTGTGTGATTATTGTGTATATATACATTTATATTGGTGTGTGTGTCTGTATGCTTACCCCATTGTTGTGACAGCGTGCAAGGCAAGTCTCTAACTCAGTAAAAGAGGCATTTTGGCATCTGCGGTCTCTGCACACCTTTGGCAACAGAAGGACAAAGATTACATAACGATTACAGAGCATGTACACGCAGAGTTTAACGGGGCTCCTTGGCTAACTCTTGTGGGGATACTACAGAGAGAAAGCAACATATACAGAAAGACAATTTGCAGATGGGTACATTTTCATCCATTTGTATCTCACACATAATTCAGCTCTTATTTTGTAGGGTGTATGTGGGGGATTTACTTACAACTTTATATTCCATTCGACAAAGTGCCAAATAAACAAGATACACAAACAGGCCTCCTTAAACCCCAGTAGCCCTTTTTATTAGATCAATAATATGCATTGATCGAATGATCAGTGCATTATATTAGATCAGTAAATTTTGACAGAGGGAACAGGTGACAACTATAAACCATGCTCCTTTACACAGTAAATAAAAACCGCAAACAGCTTATACTTAAAGAGTCAGAGATATCAAACTTTCCTTGAAGTTTCAGTTACATTCAGACCACATCTGAATGAGTCTGTTAACTTAGGCCTATAAGGGAGCCAGGAATGACAAAACGATGAATTAAATATGCTACTTACTAATTAATTACAATTTTATTAATTAATAAAAAATGGAATTCATTAATTAAATATTTCAATAATGATTTAAATGCTCGTTAATTTCATTTAAAACATTTAATAAATTATTTATTACCTAATACTGTTATATTATATCTGGGTATAAAGTGTAATCTCGAAATTACAAAATATTTAATTCAGTTCAATTCAGAAGCCAACATCAAAGAGATGTAAGTGACATTAAAGCCATATTAGTCAACGTGTAGGCCATTTGGGGCCAGACTAACCGGCTCTAAACATTTAACTTTATATTTGGCAGGAGGTTATATTAAAACTGATAAATATATGGCAATTTACACTTATTTCCTTGTTCTAACAATGCTTCTTGGCAATGAATCTTCTACCGTTGGAAAGCCTGTTTATTTCTTCTTGAATGTTGCCATATTCTTAAGGAAAATACATCTATGTATTAAGGAATAGAGGTGAGTATGTGGTTTGCCAAATCTTTTGTGGTTATACTAAACAACTTATCCTGCTATTGTTTTGGGCTTCTGGTACTCTAGGTGGTGACAAGTGGGTGCATGCTTGGCACCTCAATAGCAACACCACAGACCATGACCCAGTGATCCGTTGATGTCTGCTCCATGCATGCCACATTTGACTGATCTGGATAGGGCCCCAGCCACAGGGCAACTTCAACATGCAGTAAGTATCAACTTTTCATGTTTTCAATCAATATTTGCCTGACCACAAAATTCCAGCTTGGTCTGAACCCACCTTGCCCTCTCCGCACTTGGTGCCGGTCATGACAAGACCCGGGTCAGGCAGGTCACCCTGGCCATCCTGGGTGCTGTAGACGTATGTGCCACGACATTTCACCTCTGTTCCTCCAGTCTTGATGGTAGTGTCAATTGACACAGCATTGGTGCCTTTTGGCTTTGTGGCAGCACTGTGGCACTGAATCTTCCCACACTTGGCATCGCTAAACAAAGATACAAGCACATAAGACTTAATTTTTCAATGGCTAGTCATTTAACCTCTGAGAAACCATTTCAAATAACCTCTGAATGTTGATGAACAGCCACAGTAGCGCAGTTGGGTTCAAAAATACATCAATTATCCACTGCCTGAGATATAATGGTAGGGGAGATGCCATATGGTACGAATAGCTCTGTACATGGGATTAAAACTAGCCCTGGATAAAAAAGTAAATATAGTGGAAGTAGTGGTGAGAACTAGTTTCTTTTAGCAACAAATGAGGAAAGGCTCAGAGTCTTTCACCAAAGGACATGGTTATAAACTAAATGTGACAACTTGGAATAAAGATTAAGACACAACCTATGAATAAATGAATGAATATGTCCTCGAGGGATTGAAAAAAAATGATAAAGCGGTACTTGTGATTAACTTTACTTGCTCATCACTGTAAATTTATGATGATGTGGATATCTACGTATTGAAAGTGTATAATGTTCATAGACGAGTTAACCCAAAGAATAAGCTCCACCATGTGCAATATTGTTTACTTTCTAATCTAACAAATGGCAGAACATGTTATCCAAGCATGGAAAGGAAACATCATCTTTGTAGCTTATTGCTCCTATTGTTAGCACATGGCATTGAAGAAGTTATACATCCTCTCTGATTACACAGAATGACTTTGAACACTTATGGTAAATAACACACTATTAGCAAAACACAGTGTGAAATAATTACTAGAGATGGCACGATACCACTTTTTTATGTCCGATACCGATATCACAAATTTGGATATCTGCCGATACCAATGTGAATCCGATATAGTGTTTTTTAATCAATAAAACAGTTTTTTAATATCTTGCTGCTTTTTATATAAGTTCATACTCAAGTAAAAACAAACAAAACAAACACTAAAGCTATTCTGTTATACCTGTATGCAGAAAATACACTGCACCCAAAATATTTCATAGTTCAGCTACACTGATCAATCTAATAAACTTAAACCTACACCATCCTCCCTATTCTGGTATTTTAAAGAGTACTTACCGTAAATATTAAGCAACCTAACTAATAGGGTTCCAACTCCCAGCAACAAAAAATAAATAAAAAATAGGGAACCACCCCTCACGCTCCACCTCATGATGCTTAATCGACGTAATCAACTTTAATTTGATGCAGTGTGAAAAAAATGCACAGAAATAAATTATTTTTCAAGAATAATTAAATAGATTCAACATCTTTCTTCAACAGAACTGCAGACTGCACAGATGGTATCTTCCCAAAGGAAAAAGTACTATAGCTTACTAGGGTATATTAGACTTAACAGTTACTATATACAGTAATGGACTTCTATACATTTTACATCAGATTAAAACTTTGGGTGTAAGATTCGGATAATTATTTATTAAAAGCTCGACATTTTAAATGAGAATAAGAAAGAAAAGTATGTCTTTGTGCCCCCTTTTCCCTGTTCATGCCCTATCGGCCCCCCTGGCTAAACTTTGCTAGATCCGCCCCTGCACAGTTACCGTCAGCTGTAGAAAAAGATCCTGGTGTAGAAAGTAATATTAAATAAATTCTAACAAAGAAAGTAATATTAAATAAATTCTAACAACAGCTTATCAAGCTTAAACGTGCTGCTGTTGTTCAGCCGCTGGTTTCCTCTTTCTGGCGCGAAGTGGGCAATAAACAAACAAGAGAGACGGACTCACGACAGAAAAGCCGATCAGCTGATCATTGATCAGTTTCATGATTGAAGTAGCAGCAGGAGAGGGAGAGAGAGAGAGGCAGTCGCTCCATATATCGGTTGTTAAGCTTAACGCAGGAATGCTTTACAAACATTCAGAGATGAACTTACACACTTGCTTTACTTCTCTCTGGGATAACTTCCTCGGAGATGAAATGCCGCATTGGTAACGAGGCTACAAAAACACACAGCTGCTCTATCACGTGACGCACACTGCTGCAACGTGCTACGGTTATGAGCCGAGTTACGCCATGTCACAAGTTTTGTGAGGTGCTTTTTTGATATTTAATGGATCGGATTACATTTTTTATTTCTCTCCGATATCCGATCCAGTAATTTACGTCAGTATCAGACCGATACCGATACGTAATATCGGATCGGTCCATCTCTAATAATTACAGATCAACATACAAGTGAAGATCGTTAACTACATTTAGTGTTTAAAGCAGATGCTGTGTAGGTTTGAGATCAGCAGCTTTCTTAAAGAGTCCAAGGATCCTGTTGACCTTGTAAAGTTCAATGCAATCTAGTATCCATGTGTGGGGCATTATGTCATAGGCTTTCTTGTAATCAATCCAGGAGGCGCACAGGTTGGTCAATCTGGTCTTAGAGTCTAAAGTAACTGCTCTATCTACTACTATATGCTGAAGGCCTGTGCTAGCCAGCTGTGTGGAATACTTCATCACCTATACAACCTGAGCATGCACCTCCAGAGAGTCCCAGTGCTATGGAAAACATCACGAGTGGTCCCAGAGCCTAAGAAAATCATCCAGGGCACTAAATGACTACAGGACTGTAACACTAACCTCTCATGTTATGAAAGTTACAGAGAGCTTATCCTGGAACACCTCAGACTCCTTGTGAGCAAGACCCTCTGCACTTTGCATACCAGCCCCACTTAGGGGTGGATGATGCAGTGATACATCTGCTGCAGAGAGGGTATTCCTCCCCCGACAGACCCAACACCACGGTTCGGATAATGTTCTTCCACTTCTCTAGTGCCTGTAATACGATCCAGGCAGGGCTGCTGAGAGAAGTTGGAGAACATGCAGGTGGAGGCTCCACTGGTCCAGTGGATCACCGACTACCTCACAGGCAGACGACAGTTTGTGAGACTGCAGAGCTGTGTGTCAGAGAGTCTTAACAGCAAAATAGGAGCATCCCAATCAACTGTTCTGTCCCCTTTCCTCTTCACCATCTACTCGGCCAACTTCAAGTACATCACAGAAACTTGTCTCCTCCAGAAAGCCTCTGATGACACGGCCATTACTGGATTGGACACGGAGCTGCCCACAAAAAGGGTCTGAGCCGGCTTTACTTTTTACGAAAGTTCAGCTCCTTCAATGTATGCAGCAGCCTGCTCTATATGTTTTATCCGTCTGTTGTTGGCATGAGGAGGAGGTGATCAGTGACAGAATGCTGGCAATCATGGACAATGACTCCCACCCCCTCGATAACACACCTGACAATCTGAAGAGCAGTTTCGGCAACAGGTTCCTTCAACCTCGCAGTCTCGCAGGAACATTACAGGAGTTCGTTCTTCTGCTGCCATCAGACTCTTTAACTCATCCACAGATCCACACATGTGGAACAGTATTAATGACACTTTGATGCACCCCGTCACTTTTGTACACCATGACATATTTGCCCACATGTTTTTACCTATATTGCTATATTCATCTATTTATTTTAATATTTATCTTAATATTCATCATAACTCTGTTTCTACCCTCATATCTGGCTTTGCACCCATTTAAGTTCAAGGTGGTCCACAGGTCGGGAAGGCAGATGGTCGTGGCCGATTTCCTCCCGGTGGGGGAGTAGGTTCGGCAGGATCTAGCCCCAGCCTCAGTCAGGTGGTGGGGGTGGGTGGCAGGGGTGTGGTCCCTGGCTCTGCTGCAGTGGAGGCGTGCTGCAGCAGGGAACAGGAAAGCTGAGGGCCAGGTAGAGGGGATTTCACTAACGAACGCTCTAAATAGACTGTCAGCTTACCAAGGTTAGTTAGTTGACATTGTATTCCAACTTATGTTTCCTAAAAGTGATGTCTTCAATTTCTTGTAACTCTTCCGTCTAGTCATCCAAACATCTGTGTTCTCTTCTCAGGAAGTTTAGTACATAGTAAATAGCCTGGTACTTGGAAAGGTCTATCATTACTTTCACAAAGCACTCAAAGCACCACACATTCACATATCCTTACATTTCTAATGTTACTCAACTTTTGATGTAGTGACTTTTGCTAGGGATGGGTATCGTTTAGGTTTTATCCGATACCGGTGCAAATCGGTACTTTTGAAACGGTGCCGGTGCTTAAAGAATGGAGAACACAAAATTGGTCCAAAAACCTCTCATGTTCAGCTGGTTTTTTTGTAAAAAGATAACAATGTTAGCCTTTTCTGCAGCTATGGGGCATATATGGTATCACTCTTGGCTGGAAGCAGTGCTTAAACAATGGAAAAAACACAAACTTTGTCCAAAAACCTCTCATGTTTAACTGTTTTCCACTTTTTCTTTGGTCATTTTAGCCTTTTTGGCCAGGGTGAAGGGAGTATCTGCCATCAAACAAGAAGACAGCCGCATGTAGCTATGATGATGTTTGCTAGTTCACCTTACATGCATTAATGTAATAACGTGGTTAGCCTACTCAACGTAAATTACACACGAACAACATTAAGCTACTCACGCAGAGAAGAACGGCTGCTGCTGCCATCATCATCCGTCATCATTTCTTCGGGTTTTTGGGGGATGTTGCTCCGGGTCCGATAACTGGCAACCCACCCGCAGTAGATGTGCACGGTGTGAGGTCTCGCAGCAAGCTATCAAATACGGCGCATTTCTCGGCTTTTTAAAAAAAAACGCTATGCGTCGCCAGGTGTTTCATCGGATTTGAGGTGTTACCTCCTTTGACAGTATCACAGTATCAGCTTAAAGCACTTGTTGCAGGCTGCTGAGTTTGCATCTTTTGCTGTGAAGTACAGCCAGACTTTTGACCACTTCGCCTTGGGCATTTTTAATCTGTAGCTCTGCTCTGAAAGAACGTATGTACCTGGGCCCTCCTACTATCCTGGGAAAGGTAAAATGATTGGCTAGAATCCAAAGTGTATGACATTTCAGGAAAAAAGCACCGAAATGTGCGCTGCTTTTCGGTCTGGTTACTACCGTTTATGTTAGAACCGGTGCCTTCATGCCACCGGACACCGGTACCCATCCCTACTTTTGCCTTTAAGATATTTTGGGAAAATAGAGTTAATTGGGTATGATGTGTTTCCAGGAGCTCAACCGGCCCATGATGTCTGCTTTGAAGATGTCAATGCAGCAGGAAATGATTTTGGAAATTGTGGGAAAGATGAATATGGCACCTATGTGAAGTGTAAGAAAAGGTAAGTGAAGCTTCACATATCAGGTATCACCGCATGTGTTAAATAGCATCAGCTATTTAACGTAGGGTTATCCACACTGATAACAGATACAACTAATATTGGAAATGCTTTTGTTGAACATATCTTTACAGTACTATACTTTGACACATCATGGAGCCACACAGCTTTCAAATGTAGTGTAACAGTTTATTTTTAGTGTGTCAAAGAGTCTGATGGCAGCAGAAGGAACAACCTGCTGTAACGTTTCCTCAGACAGCCTTTCATCCTGGGAGCTCAGCCACATAGCTTCCTGGTCGGCAACTCGACGCCTTTGGACAGCTTTCCAGCTGTTTCTACACACACACACACACACACTGTTTCTACACACACACACACACACACACACACACACACACACACACACACACACACACACACACACACACACACACACTTCCTCTCTGGTCCTCAGCATCACTACAAAAAGCA